ATATGATTTTCTTTACATGAAAATCCTTACTGTGCGAGTTCTTAACTGAAAGATATCATTTACATATGTAATTCAATGGTAGGGGACGCTCACCGATCGTTCATACGGAACTTACTCGTTCCGTTGTGCCCTAAAGGTTCTCCCTCGAGCCCAACCAGCAGCCGCACAGCGGCGCATGATATATAGGCAGAATGGTATTACCGACAAAGACAAGGCAGACTGGAATGGTCATTTCTGGCTTATTAGCGGACGTCAGCCAGTCATACCCCAGCCTGCAGTGTGGAACACCCGAGCCTCGAACTCGCAACCTGTTGGTTTAGAAGTCCACGCCTCTACCTACCGGGCCACGAGCCCGTTGCCATGTCGGTTTTCGAACGGGAATATACAATGGTAGGGGGCGTTCACCGGTCGTTCTTTCTGAACTCACTCGTTCCGTTGTGCCTTACGGGCGCTCTCTCTCTCGAGTCCAACCAGCAGCCGCACAGCGGTGCATGATATATAGGCAATGTGTTATTGCCGACAAAGACAAGGGAGACTGGAATGGCCATTTCTGGTTTATTAGCCGTTGTCAGCCAGCCATATCCAAGCCCAAAGTTTGGAACACCCGAGAGGAGTGGACTTGTAAACCAACAGGTCGCGAGTTCGAGGCTCGTGTGTTCCACACTTCGGGCTTCCGTATGACTGGCTGATGACGTCTAGTAAGCCATAAATGACCATTCCAGTCTCCCTTGTCTTTGTCGGTATTACCATTCTGCTTATACATGTAATTCAATTAAACTCAATATGTCACATTCACCAAAAAGGCTTGTTTAGACAGGAGCATCGTAAAGGTTCGAAATTTTTTGATATGTGTTTACGCAGTTGCACTTTATACACCCACGCGATTTTATTTTGAACTTGCTATGTAAGACGTTAAAGGGTCCTGACGGCTGTTTACAAAAGTGGCCATGTGATTACGTCAGGGCACGCACATAACGTGCGCTGGCTGATACTGCATTGAGGCATTGTCAACAGTATATAAGAAAGGTTCCATTTAACTGGTGGGCATTCACGATGACTGCATTTCTAACAATTCTCCTGAGTCTGCTGATCGTCAGCTCGGTTTCCGGTAAGCTGTCTACATTTGCAGTACGCTATTGCACTTATTGACGAAGTATTCAAACTGCACTACTGTGTCTTCCATACGAGTAGGCATAACGAATATATCATCACATTAACGTTTGCAGAACTGTGGTTGCTTAGAGACGCCGCTTCAGTTGTTTTCCCTAGGTTTGTTAAAACATAAAATAGATATGATGTCCTCAACGCTGCTTTCTGCATCTGCCTGTAACTTCTCAAAGACGATAAACTAATCTCGAGTAGGCAATTTAGTACATATTTTGACGCGTAAGATTCAGAAAATTGAAGTTTGCATTTGTTTAGAACAGAATGATAAACATTCTAAAAAGCCGTTAGAAAATAAAGAAATAAAATAAATAACCATAAAAGTGTTTTCATGACGAAACGAGTTTGCTTCTTAGATGCTTTGAAGTGACTTGTGATTTCTTCTATGGAGAATCAACAGGTCTGTCAAAAACAGCGTTCTTATCAAATCTCGAGAAATGGACATGGCATGTCTTGTTAGACGGCACAATGTGAAACTAGATGTGGTAAATGCGACCAGATACGCTAATGCGTAGAAAGTATGCCATGATTTGCCGGTCCCCAGAAAGTATTGATGTGAAAACATGGTCAGTGCTGGGATGGACGAATTTACCTGTGTCAGTCATGTAGATTTTAAAAAACTGGGATTTTGCTCAAAAATGAAGTTTTACTCTGATATTCAGGTGTATAATTTAAATCTAAAAGCAATGTTAACATAACCGCGAATGGTACTTCTATCATTGCCTATGGAGACCTCTTAGACGATGAAGAAGAAGCGAATTACAAACACGCATTAACATTATATTTGCGATAGTACTTTCACAAACTTCCTTTGACTGCGTAAGAAAAATACCCAAACCTCCTGTAGATGATGTTGTGTTGGTGCTGGTAGGTGGAATCAAAAACGACTAAAAGTATGCATGAATCGAGCATGTAAGCGGCTTTATTGGAAAACTTGTTTGTTTTGCATGCATTTTAAACTGCCCGACGATTTCTTCGTGGGCAAACGATCAGCTAGGACTGAGTCAATTTCTATATCGAGGCTATGGAGAAAGTCATGGCATGTTTACACATTGTCGGTGTACCGTTCAACACTGACCCCATGACAAGCATAGCCATGACAAGCATAGCATAGGCGAATAAGGCACTCAAAATCCCCAGCAAGCGTATGTTTATCGGGAAGGTGGTTTAGAACATAATTCATAGAAATTTCATCTGCTGTGTGTCAGTCAGTCTTCTCATATGTCTCTGTTTTAGGAGGCAACAGCTGCCAGGAGGAAGGCGAGGCCTGCAGCAAGACCGTCTTTCAGAGATGCTGTGGTAAACTTGTCTGTGAATTGGAAAGTTTCGGGAATGGCAAGTGCGTGCGCTGCCTAAATCCGACAAAGCCCTGCTGGCGAAATCGTGACTGCTGCAGTAGGAAGTGCTCCTTGTTCAGATGTAAATAGACAAACAAACTTTGATTTTATGAGATACTTGCTTGTAATACCTCTCTCTTTGCTGCTTTCGTGAACTGAAACAATAAACGATTTCTTATGCATTGTGGCCTTCTGTCTGAAAAGTGAAAATTAAATGGGCCATTCTACACGCGTGCTTCGCACCCAACTTGATTTAATTTCAATAGACTTGCTACTTATAAGACTAAGAAGTTTAGTAATTGAGGATGAAGAGGCGGTTAGGGAAGTTGCTCGTGTTGGCGTAACGCTGGCTTCGAGGTTGTTTGCGAGCGCTGTATCGCGGGATGCGAGATTGCTGTCATGAGACCAAAGGCTTTTCACCACCACCCGGCCGGGAAGGGTGCGCGTCAGGCTGGTGCGGACGCCACTTCTGCTGCCGGACTGGCGATCCCATCACCCGATTTGTGTTCGGGTCTGCGTGTGTTTAGACTCGACACTTGTTTCCGTGGGTCCGTGTTCGCTCCTGATTGGCGCTCGTCTGCGTTTGTGTTCGACAATATTTTACGTCCCCTAGTCTACCTGTTCGGTTTAGGTTTGCCCGCCTCCGTGCCTGATCTGACTCCCCTCTTACTGGACTGCAACAAGCCGTGTTTGGTAGCCTTCTGGAAAATTCTCATAGTTGATGACGGAGGCGGATATGGGGTTGCAGACTTTGAGCGCCTCTAAAAATGTTTGGTGGCTTCTTCGACGCACGATTTAGGTGTCGTGGAAAGCGAAGATAGGCACGGAACTTGCGCAATGTTATGCCACTAGCGGTAGTGTATCCGTTCTCCTTACCGCTCTTGCGTGAACACACATGCTGGTCTGCAATATCTTATCGGTCAATTCAATGTAGTTCATTTCGCGGCACGTGTGCTGCACCAGTTTTGTTTCGCGACGAATGAACATTAAGCGACATTATAAGTTGTCAAAATGTCGGCAGTGTGAGGTAATGTTGATTTCCAGGGGTTTCAAGAGATAGACAACGACATCGTTATGTTGGTATTACGAAATAACTCCTTCTGTCAGCAAGAATGCCAGATTTTCTACCGTACACCTCTTAGTTTGCTTTGGATATATGCGGCATGCAGTAGTTCTGTGGAGGTAGTCCTTGAAACTGATAGCGACTGTCCACCTGACTATTTTGTAGAGTGTTGATAACTAGCTACGCTATGGCCATGATATCTCGAAACTTGACACTCAAAAGTGTCTTTCTCGTATGTTGCCATCTTCAAAACTGGAGGTTTAGAAGAGTTATATAATTGTTGTCAGCTGTCTGCCTTGCAAAATGCGTACCAGGTGAAATAGGGTTCGTGAGCGACTTACTACATGTTGACCTTCTCTTCAAATTCCTGAATTGATGTCGAAAGCGTTCTTTGTCGTAATTTGTAGACCACCATATGCTTCGGAAGATGCCAGAACAAACTGACTCAAGAACCGAATTTTAAAGCGAAGAAGACACGATCGCGGGGCCAAGAATTTTATTCGCCTGACGTTTCGGATTCCTTCTCGAACCCATCATCAGAGACAAAAACGGATACGGGTGGTTCATGCACAAGCGGCTGTGCTATTTATAGGATTCAATCGCCATGCTACCGCGCACCTATGAATATTAACGGTTTCCGCCCTTTTCGTTAGGGATCGTTTCACTTAGCGTGATGACTGTTTGATGACCGATATTTGCGCCGTTAATTGCTGCGATTTCATCAAGTGTGCTGGATTTTAGTGTTATGATTGCTCGACCATCTGACGTACCGACCCTGGCGTGGGGAACAGAGTTCACCTGTGCGCTCCCCGCGCGGCTAATTACTCCACCCAGTTGACATCGCAGCATCGCGTATGGAAGGTGAGGGTCGTGGCACTTGTTAAGGAACTGAGGGCCGGTAAACCATGACTCAAGCAGTTTTTGGCTTACGCGGTTGTCCCCTCTAGCGTGAATTTCGACCTCGTCAAATTTGAATGTGTGGACGGATGTCGTCGAGTGAGCCGCAATTTGAGAGCCGACGTCATTTCTTCACAGGGCCGCAGCGTGCTCAGGCATTCGGGTTAGGAGTAAGTATTTGCATACTTGTACAAGCACACGTAGGCCACGCTATAAATTCATAAATATGCAACTTTGCCAGGCCTCGCCAGCACAGGTGGAACGACAGTATGCCTTCTAAAGCTTAACTGAACTTTCGTTGCCAGAGCCCAATCGGGAAGCTGACTGAAAAAACGCGGAATCTCCAGACCACTATCAGAGGTAGGTGCTTATTTCAGTCCCGAAGCATAAAAACGTACGTACATGTCGGAAAATGCCATTGCAAACTTCTTGTGTCAGAGTGGTTGTCCTCGTCGGACCTACACCAATTACTGCTCTGTGTGCAAGACAGCAAAGTCAGTACAAAGACATGGCCGAGAGTTCGGCGACACTTTCTCTTAATTGGTCGACAACCTGTCCTCCAAAACTTATTTGATATAAGTACAACAGACTGCAACGCAATCCTTTTCGTAGCCTCATTTGTACCAGCGCACTATCGGAAAGGCATCTAAAATAAGTATAGAAACGCCCCTCTACAGTGTGTTACTGCATTGTTGAACGTCAAAATAGAACCGGCATGCCATTTGGGAAGAGAAAAATTTGGAACTACTGAACACGTGGATTGAAATAATCCTCAGGTCCACGGTCAAATGACGATCTTCGCTGCTTTTGGTTAGAAAGCAGACGACTGATCGGCGATTGATGACAGCCGATGTGCCATTTCGTAATTAGCATTGATTTGGAAGATCGACAGCGTGCTTACCCAAATAAGTAAATTTGGGTTCATATCGAACTTGGACGGGATAAAAAATGATGCGGTTTGCCTCTCAATAAGTCCAATATCGGAACATCCCCACAGGCCATAATTTCAGACCCTGGCATCCCAACACTAGCAGATCGCCTGCTTAAGGTCGAAAGATACACATACGTCGACATTCACGATTTCAATTAAACTTGAAGGACTCTGATGAAGCTAGTTTATGATGTAACTGAAGATACCTAACCGACTCGAGTCTGTATATTAGCAGACTAAAGTAAACATTGTCGGCCAAATGTTGCGCAAAATAATCATGGGGACGAGAAACATTCTGTGGGTATTTTTCAAAATTCTCATGGACTTCATGGACGTTGATCAACGACACTAATGAATTCGCTAATCATCTAGCCGGTTGCAAAGGCGGTCGCTGGAAGTCCAGACTAGGGCGTGTTGTACGAACAACCTCACTGTGATGCAGCCGGATGGACGAGTCGAATACAATTTGCATTCCATTGGCCTTCCGAGGACATTATATGCACCATCTTGGAGTAAATCTTTCAGAACTGACCTTTTCATGCACGGTCCGGAATTTAATATGAATACTTGAGCTGAAATCCACCAGCTCCTGCGGAATAACCGCCTAATATTCACAAACCGCCAAAAGGCAGCCAGTAGTATGAATATTATAGTGTGATAGTTTTACCGTACAAACAACACATTTATTGGCTAAAGCACAGGCAGGCGTGTTTAGCCGATCCTATGCCGCTGCCTGACACAGATGTGAGGGGTTGGGCTCATCATTGCGTCCCCTAGATTGCCCCATGTGTTTTCTGGTATATTGACCCTAGTTTCAGCTTGCCTTGTTTAATTTCCTAAGTGAGCTAACTCAAGGAATGTCGACCGAAGTTCCGAAATGCGTTTTCGTTTCATAAAGCCTGATTAAGTAGGGTTGCAAAACTAATCATCGTGCGGCATAATTCTACAATAATTCAGTTACTTCAGGATGCCGGCTCTCGAATGAACTTCTTTCCATTTGCATACAAAAATTATCCTTTACAAAAATGACTACTTTAGTAGCACGCATTTGTCTCATTGATTTTCGATGCCCTTAAAAGTTCACTTAATGGCATCAAGTGAAAAAACATCCATAAACATTTTCATCCTTCCGCTCATTCGGTAGAAAATCACGTCTTCCCCCATTTTTATACTCGAAGGAATTGTACGTTGCGGTTTAAAAAAAGTTTCTATTTCTCAGATTTTTAATACCGTGAAATGGCCTTTCATAGATCGTCATGTCTCTGCATTTACCAATGTGTCTTGTGAAGTTAAGAATATGGCTCAAATCCACTGCTACCTTTTATGAACCCCATATGGTGTCCCCTTAGTACGGTGGCGAAAACTACGGTTTTCCGTACGCCGAAAATATACGGCTTGTAGTTTGGAAACCCTGAGGCACGTGTAACGGCAGGTGAGGGAACAAAATTATTCGGGAATCGGGAAAATCTTTTAAAACCGAATTATGCCCTTCCCCCACTTGCTCCACCTTGAAGTGGTACGAATCGCAGTCTTTCTACCCACAAATGGGGAATAAATTCGACATTGCCTCCATGACCTCACGCTGTCTCTAGGGCACAGTGCAGTCAGCGTGACAGGACGGAAGTCCCGTAATACTGAACCTAGAGTTTATTTCTGGGTTATGTACATAGGCTTTCCGATGTGCAGGAAAAAGGGCAGGAATATATTTGGATCTTTGTCCGCACCGTGGACGGCTGAGATGATCACCTCACTGGTCAGTCGGACAGCTACGCTAAACACGCGTTCAACGGCGGAACGTACAGGGCAGCAGGTCCGTCCAGTTTCTTGTCTCCTTTGCAGCGCATAGTATTGTCTTCCGCTGGCAGGGAAACCATTCGACCATCCACTTGCCGGCTGGGTTTTCAGCTGTCTTCCGGATGCGTGTAAGGCCTAAAAACAGCAGGGAGTCTGAATTTCGGTTCGTGCCCCCGGTCAGTAGTGATGATATAATGAGCACTGAAAATGGCAACACAATGGCCAGGGAATGCCCTGACCAGAGCTGAACCTCCACATGTGGATAATTTCCAGCCACTGGTTAAATCAAAGCACAGAGATAAGCTTGCATAGGACTATATGGATGAACCCAACACAGAGACCGAGAATGGTTTCCATAGGAGCCTTGTTTTTTTGACAGCCCGGACATATCTTTGACCAAACTTTGATCTTTCGGGGCATCCCAGGACCGGTGAGAAGGACAGGGACCGGTTTGTTAATCCTTCAACTGCCAGGCTCAAAAACGTTTTGCAGGGAGAAAAGGTATGTACGTTGGTAAAATGGCGACAGAAAGGGACGGTGAGCGGTGGTGGGGAATTCACAAATAATGGTGCCGCCAGTAGAAGTCAGAGAGCTTTGGCAGGTAAGGCAATCGATAACTCGATCCCACGTTAAGACTTAATTGAGAAAAGTCAAGCGAGACGACCGTGCCCGAACGGACTTTACTGTCAACGTCGCCCAACGAAGAACTAACGCAATGGGTGAAAAGTCAACTGGTCGAACCGAAACTCACACTAGTTGGAGTGTGCGCGTAACCGTTGCATAAGCACTGACTTAAACAAAAATGAGATAAGTGTGAATCTAGTAAATGCATAGCAAGTAGAATAACTATAAAAGGCAATGTATGAGCAAAAATATGACAAAGGGCTACTACAGTAACCTCCGCCCAGACCGAAGGCCGGAGTAAAAACGACGCCGAAGGTAAATGCAATGTTAATACACTTGAGTGATAAGGCAGTCGGGAAAGTGGACGCGACGGCCACTACGAGAATGCCAGTGGCATTGGAAGAGTAAGGGTCGGAGGCGGTGGAGGGAAGTGGGGTAGGAGAAGGTTGGGAAGGTGGAGGAGCACGGGGTAGGTAGTTTGGAGGATCACGGAGTAGGGGGGCAGCACAGTTTTGTTCTTGAGGCAAATCCGACGGCTCCTCCGCGACAGCAGCCTTGGCCCGATCGGCACTGACCACATCCTCCTTGTCACCCCGAAGGATCCGGCAGGTCTTGGTGTTGTGTGCGAGCACACGGAACGGTCCTTTGCATGGTGATTCCAGCGGCTGGCGCACTCGGTCACACCGAACGAACACATGAGTGCAGTTGACCAAGCCTTTTTCGAGATAAGATTCGGTCGTTGGAGTTCGACGCGGAACCGGGGAAAGCGAGGGCGTGAATCGCCGCAGGCTATGCACAAAATTGTCAGGGATCTCATCGGCACTACAGTCCAAATCCGACTTCAGAGCTGCGCGAATGCCGAGGAGTGCAAGGGGAAGGTTGTCTGACCAGTTCCCAGGGTCTTCTACAGCACGCAGGGTGGTCTTTAGCTGGCGATGGAAACGCTCAACCATACCGTTGGCACCTGGGTGAAAGGCTGTCGTCCGGATGCGTGTGCAGCCGAGAAAATTGAGAAGCGTTTGTAAGAGTGCAGACTCAAATTGGGCACCACGATTAGTCGTAACCGTGGAGGGGACACCGAACATGGCGACCCAACGACTGACGAAAATCTTTACAATGGTTTCAGCCTGCACGTTCTGCAAAGGAATGGCTTCAGCCCAGCGGGTGTACCGATCGACGCAAGTAAGAAGGCAAGTATAGCCATCAGATGGAGGCAAGTGATCTACGACATCCAGGTGCACATGGCTGAACCGTGCGTCGGTGCTGGGGAGAGTGCCTGGTGGGGACTTGTTGTGACGCTGCACCTTGTTCCGCTGGCATCTCAGACACGATCGGGCCCAAGCTTTGTCGTCCTTGTTCATGCCAGGCCAGACGAACCTTTCCGCGAGGAGTTTTTGAGAAGCTTGGATCCCAGTGTGGTAGAGTCCATGCAGAGTTTGAAACACTGCTCGACGCATTGAGGCGGGCACAAAAGGGCTATGCAAAGGAGTCCAGACGTCACAAAGTATGGTACCAGAGCCGGTGGTCAGAGGAACGTCTTTGAGTTGGAGATCACTAACGGACTGGACGCCAGAACAGCCGACTCGTTGTTGCTCAGCCGCCATGGCGCCAAGGTCGATCCCGTGTGAGAGTTGGAGGGTGGATAGTGAGGGCCTGGACAGCATATCAGCCACCTCATTTTTCGTGCCATCAATGTGACGGATGTCGGTGGTGAACTGAGAGATGTAGTCCAAGTGGGCGATCTCTTTCGGATTGTACTTGTCGGAGTGGGAACGAAGAGCGAAAGTCAGCGACTTGTGGTCCGTGAAAACGATGGAGTCCCGACCTTCAAAGAAAAGTCCTAAATGCTTCACAATTAGGTAAATGGCAAGTAGTTCACGACCAAAGGTGCTGTAGCGGTTCTCAGCCAGCAAGGGGTTTAAGGTGAAAAGGGCCATTGGTTCAGTCAAACCAGCAAGGTGTTTATGAAGGATTGCACCTACGGCTACGGTTGAAACATCCACCATCAGGGACAGCTGAGCTTCGTGAGCGGGATGCGTGAGTAAGGTGGCGTCGGCAAGGAGATTCTTGATTCTCTCAAAAGCAGTCAGTGCCTCACCAGTGAGCTCGAGGGGACCTTTGTGACCAGAAAGCATGTTGGTGAGCGGCAGCATGAGGTCAGCACAGTACGGTAGGAACCGGTGGTAAAAATTGACCATGCCGAGGAATCGCTGCAGCTGACGCTTGGAAGTTGGTGGAGGGAAATCACGAATTGCCTTAAACTTGGAGGGGAGGGGACGCAAACCTTCAGAATCTACATGATGGCCGAGAAACTCGAGCGAGGGCACAGCCAACACGCACTTGGAGGGGTTGATGACAACACCGAACTTGTCAAGACAGTCAAACACCAAGGTAACATGCTCTTTATGTACTTCGTCATTCCGGCTGGCCACCAAGAGGTCATCAATGTAGGCATACACAAAGGCTAGACCACGTAAAACATGGTCGATTAACCTCTGGAACGTTGAGGCGGCATTATGAAGACCAAACGGCATGCGGATGAATTCGAAGAGGCCGAAGGGTGTGGTGACGGCAGTTTTCGGGATGTCCTCAGGGACGACCGAAATCTGAGGAAAAGCCCACACCGGCTCAATCTTGGAGAAAACCGCTTGGCCAAAAAGGGTTCCCGCAAAATTCTGAAGATGAGGTACGAGGTACCGTTCGGGAATGGTAACGCTGTTGAGGGCACGATAGTCACCACAGGGTGCCCAGTCGCCTGATGTCACCTTGGGTACCATGTGCAGGAGGGACGCCCAGGGACGCTCGGACGCTCACGGACGCTCGAATGTTTCCAAGTTGCAGCATATGCTCAAACTCTGCCTTCGCGGCCTAAAAACGGGCCAATGCTAGTCGTCTAGGCCGAGCGAACACAGGAGGACCTGAGGTGCGGATGTGATGAACAACATGTTGGACCTCGACGCTGCGGAACTGTGGGTTGGTGATGTTTGTGTGTTGAAGCAGCAGCCCCCGATAAGGACAAGCAATACTTGTATCTAAGACAGATAAATTGCAGAAGGTAGTGAAGGGAGTGAGGCCACGCACAAAAAGACCAGTTATGCAGTCTAGGAGTCAGTATTTTCGGCAGTCGACAAGGAGATCGAATTCGGTCAGAAAATTCGAGCCGAGGATTGTTTGAGGAACATCAGCAATCACAAAGACCCAGGAGAAAGACCGACGAAGGCCAATGTTCAGGGTGAGGGACAGGCTGCCAAAAGCGATAATGGGGGAACAGTTGGCAGCTTGGAAGTGAAGACGATGATCGGCTGACTTGGGCTCCAGCGTCTTCAAGGAAACGCTTGCGAATTACACTATTGCAAACATAGATGCGACCAAAGCCGGAAGCGCCAGAGAAAACGGTCGCCTATATTTTCTGGCTGACTGGTTTCCCTTCTGCGACTTAAAAGAGCAGGGCGAGGGACAGTGACAAGCCATCGGATCGAAATCGGTATGATACTAACAAACATCGGCTGTTCAAGGTCGCGAACGAGAACGATGCCCACCGGGTGAGCGAGTGGAAGAAAGGTGGACGAGCTGTACTTTGAGAGCTGCCATCTCTTCTGCCATGGCATCAGTCTGCGTCGCAATCTGCTCACTTGGCTTCGGTAACGAAGAAATTGAGAGCTGGGTGACAGAGGGTGGTTGGAACCGCTGCACCTCCAAAATCCTCTCCGCCATCTTGGCTAGCCGTGAGACCGAAAGATCCTCTGAGGCAGATGCCAGAATGGTTTGCACATCGACTGGCAGACGCTCTAGGAACATTTCCTTAAACATTTTGTCATCGATATGTAGCTCACCGCGAAGGCCTTGCATCCTCCTAAGAAGTTCGGTGGGTTTTTGGTCACACAAACATCCTTCGAGAATTTGCTGGTGATACCGCTGGCGATCAAATACAGCATGAATTCGAAGGAATGCAGCCCTAACCCTAACCCGAACCGAAATCGTAAACGGAACTGCAGCCCTTAGGCATAGCCGTAATTGGAAAAACCAACCGTAATGGTGAAACCTAATGTTACGCTCAAACCTTTATCGTAACCAGAAAACCTAAGCCTAAAGGCATAACCCTAAGCCGAAAATCGGAAACCATTAACCGGTACCCTAATCCTAACCTCAAACGTAAAACGGAAGCCAAATGGGTCAGATGTGATTATGGAACTCCACAAAATCGTCCCAGTAAACAAAGACCCAGCCACCTGTAGCGCTGGGCCTGGCTATCAGCTGTGATCTAGCCGCGGAATTTTTCGAATAACTGCGAATGTGGGGCCTATATCGTGGGAATTCATTTGTGATCCTCTGAACGCGAGGACAGTGGCACTTGGGGCGCTCTATCAGGACGGAGATTTACGCCAAACAGTTAGAGACTGTCGAAAATCACAGTGCGATGTTGGAGCCTTTTCTGATGATTAATACAAGGCTGGTATGAGAACAGACAAATGGAAGGCCGTGTACTACGTGATCAGCTAAATTCAGGAATTTCTGCGATGTATTTTGCAAAACAAATGGCGTGCGAAGAAATGCAAACAAACCAAGCAGTGCCATCACAGCCGTTCTAGAAACGTCCTCGGTGGCAGTCAGAATTAGACAAAATGCCCACACCGATTCAAGTTCCAGGAAAATAATTTTTCCAGCAAGACTTCTGGCGAAGTCCTGAAGATTAAGGATCAGCCATCGATCTAACACGATGGTCTTCTTCGAGATCATTTGATAATTACTAGGACTACGGCCTTCGGCCTCCGGTTTGGGAACCATGTGCAGTTGAAATGTGCCGGCGCTGTCAGATTGTCGAATATTTTTCAGTCACGACATGTAATCACATTTAGTCTAGACTGCTGCAAGACGGGCGTGAGTAAGGCGGTCATAGCTAGAAAAAACGAGGTAGCTGGACGTTTTGGCATGACGGTAAACGTCCTGGGGCATCGAGGAGTAAGAGAAGGGCGGTTTAATGAAACTGCAAAATTTAACAAGAAGATTCCAAATTAAAAGGTCGGGGATAGAGTTAAGAACGGAGCAATGGTGAGCAGCAGGAAGTTGCTGGAAGCCTTTTTTGCAGAGGGTAGTAATTCGATCGTGAATGCGGAATAGTCTGCAGTGAACAGAAATCCCAACGACTTGATGCCGTGGATATGTGGAAAGCGCGTGTCTACAACCAGTGCGCTTCCGGTCGCATAAAAATCGGGTAGCACATGCAGGCAAAATATACCACACAGTCAGGGTGACACGTTAGTCTAGCACACTGATTCAGTGATCAAAAACATTTGTGGGGAGACGTCAAAATTTGCTCAACGATGGTGGTCGTAGAGGCATTGGACGTCGTGGGATCTCGCTAGTGGTAATGATGGAAATGGTTTAGAACGCCGTAGACAGTGCTGGTCGATGACTTTGATCCCTGCGCTAGCGTGGACACGGTATTAGTGGCCCTATACCTGTGTTGTTGGTCAGCGATACCGTTAAGTTGCCCTTTCTCCTAGAATTGCAATCTAAGATACAATAACTGCATGTTTTCATCAGTTACTTTGGACGTAATCTGCTATTTTATCTGCAATTACAGTTTCCAAAATACAAGTAATAAACATTTGGCTAGATCGCAGTTGGAAGCCCGGAATGGGAAGCGGACGACAACCTTAAAACTAATCCCAACCTTATCTCTAACCCTAACCTCAACCATTATCGTTAACCGTTAAGCGTAACGGCAACCCTAACCCTAGCCGAAATCGTAATCGGAACCGTGGCCCTTAGACACAGCCGTAACTGAGAAGCCTATCCGTAATACTGGAACCCATTCGTACGCTCAAATCCTAACCATAACCCGAAAACCGAAGCCTAAAGGCATAACCCTAAGCCGAAAATCGGAAACCATTAACCGGTACCCTAATCCTAACCTTAAACGTAAAACGGAAACCAAATGTGTTCAATGTGACTATGGAGGCCCACAAAATAACCTCAGTTAACAAACCCCAGCCACCTGTAATGCGGGTCCGGGCTACCAACTGCGATCTAGCCGGAAGTTTAAATGAGAAGATATTCATCTATTTCTTTATCATATAACGATGTAGCATTTGGCTCAACGATTATGCTGTGAATTGGACTATTTTGTATATTTCATACGAACCGCTGACTAACGCACAGTTACGGTATTAATTGAATCGAGATTTAGTATTTTTATAAGACTCGTAGCAACAAAGCCAATGCCTATCTGACGAGGATTTCGACTAACGCTTTATGGATTCAACGTTTACACAAGCACGCTGGTGAACTCGTCCAAGCATGTATTAGACGAATTTTTCTAACATCCTTCGAATCAGATCTGCCCGAATTACTCCAAAATTCCCTACCCTGAGCTAGCTTTGGCCAGCAAGGCTCACCTTTGTTGCCGTTCAGCAGATACCGGCACCACTCGAAGTATTCAGTGATAGGCTCGATGAGCGTCAATGCAGCCAGTGTGCCAGTGCACCGGCTACGGCAAGCTTTCGCACCATCAATTTGAACACATCAGCTGACTTGCAGAGTGCGTCCTCGTGAAATGATATATAAGCCGGCCAATGTCTGCATGGACATCAGTATGTGTTAATAGGCTTTTGGTAGGTCTGATTGATTCTTTTGACCCACTTATGGAAGAGACGGACAAATGAGCTGTTTGTAAGCCAATTGCGGACTCGAGAAAATTTCAAGGACCAATTCGCCTGTTCATAGTCCTTAAATCAAAAGCCTGAGCCTGGTTTGTGTGCCCAGAACGTTGGCGGTATCCGCCGAATGGTCTGTGATGATCGCGACCAGACGGCCGTGACTGACGCCACAGAGGCAGAAGCTTGTGTGGAGTTTTGGATACATGGAAGCTGTGTGGGTTGGCCTGAGCTTGCTCCATCTTCCCCCAACACAAGTATCTGACTGGCTTGACTCCCCATCCCATTGCGACACATTCGTCCACAGGGGTGTTTTCCGAGCAGGAGCAAAATGCAAAAGTGACCCCATTTGGAAAGTTCCATTAACTGTCTGATCTCTACTGAGAGCTCTTACGTGAAACTGTCAACTGAAGTTGCCTGGTTAAATGTCCTCAGATCGCTGGCCTCTGTTTCCCTCGCATTTACTTAACAGGTCACCCCTCCTGTTGATGGCAGATTGCACTCTACACTGATATTTCGACGACGAGTTAACCACCGCCCTCGTCAGTCTTTCTACACCGCACAGGACTGCAAAGCGTTTGAAATTAGCGTGCTTGACGAAGTCCAATAATGCCACACTCAGCCACCATCATGGCTGCTTCGGGCCTGGAAAAGCCGTGTCCATCATCTGCTTTTGCTTAGGCGTCTGCAGTCTCGCATTTTTGTCGATGAACACGGTCAGTGAAAAACCGTGCATATCTGGACGAGGCATTAGAAAGTGAGACAGGCGTCACTGCCAACATTCTCCTGCTGTTTACAATGAATTTACTACAGCGGCATTGGCAAACAGAAGAAGGGCTCGGTAGTAACCACGAAACACTACACATCGACAATTTCGTGAGGCATAGTCCTACATCGTTTTTTTCATCAACCCTAAACCTAATCCACTTTCTAGCCGATGCTGCAAGTCTAAACCCTATGATACTGTCTAACAGAGTTCCAGTACTGATCCGGTGAAGGGGAGCCCAGTCGAACTGGGTTCAGGCGTATTGGGCCACACTCTAAAACAAAGTGACCCCCTTCCCTCGAGAGCACACTCTCATAATGCCGTGCAAACATTCTGGATAAGTAGTGGGAAGTAAAATTCCCTCCTCGCAGCAATTCCAACATGTAAGTAAGAAGGTCATTCTTTGGACAGAAGTATATCACTTGCTTTATATCCTTACACTAATATTAAAAAATTCGAAGACTGCAACTATTATATACAGGGGTTCAAGTTTCTTCTTGGGCATTGAGACAAAATATCCTGCGTAGCACCACACCTAGTTGTCTCCAGCGTCGGCGTCCTCGTCGCTGAAATTAAATAACAACCCATAATGTTCAGGAGGTTTCAAACAAATTTTCACAAATTTTTTAGTAAGAACAGCACTTACAG